AGAGAGTGCCACTAAACGGAGAGCCGCTCGTGCTGCTAAGGTGAGTTTTTTCCTTTTATTTATTGTGATAAATTCTTTAAGGAAAAGACTCTGGAGCAGCTGTGTGAGGAGCTAGGAGTGGAAGATGTGGAGCTGACATATTCTACTGATGACTTCGAGAACTGGACTGTTCAGAAGCTTTTTAATCAGTATGTGCAGCCGCTAATCGTTGAGAAGAATCCGCATGTGCCGAAGGAGCACATTGTGCAAATTTTGGATGCAAAGTGGAAGGAGTTCGCCATAATGAACCCATACATTCCCAAAGGGGAAGAGGGTATGTCCTCCATTTGCATAAACATTTTGAAAACTTAATTTAATCTCCCGTTTGTTCGTCTGTGTGCAGAACCTTTGATGAATTGCCCCGCGTCAGCTGTAGTCAAAAAAGGTTAGCAGTAGCAGCAGTATCAGCAACTCTGGTTAGCCCTCTTAACCTTCCCCCTTTCGACTGTTCCACTTTTCCTTCCTATAACTCACGTTTCATGTTTTCGCTTCAACATTGACTCGTTTGCATAACATTGGTTTGTAACATCTTTTATACTGCATATTCCGTTTTGGTATTTTATTTTTTTTATCGTAGACCTTCCGGACGATGAAGAAGAAAGCAGCACTCTGGCAGCTCCAAGCAACAGTTTTGTGGTGGAGGATGAGGCTGAGGCTGAAGACACAGAGAGCACAGTAGTAGTTACCACCACCACCACCCCAGCTGTACCTCGCCGTGTCTCTTCTCGCCATCTGAGAGCTGCAGCGGCGGCAGTAGTGGTGTCGACCGCATCCGCGACCTCGGTGGGTAGTAGTGTAGGGACGGCAGTGGTAGTTCCAGTGGCTGCAACAGCAACAGAAATTCCGGGTGAAAGTGGAGAGGTCAGCCAATCCTCCCCTGCCTCCTCCTCTGCAGCAGCCACACCCGCCTCCTCGCAAGCCGCGCCATTAAGAATTAAAATTAGCAAAAAGAAGAAGCGCAAGACTCCTGGAGGTAGAAGCGGTGGCCGTCGCAGAGAGGTGAGTGACGTTTAGAAAAGCATTTGGAATATGTTTTGCTTCATCTGATGTTTGTTTTCTTCTCATGCTTTGCAGGGTGGAGGTCGATTAGTTGGTGACAATACGAGTGACGAGGAATTCGAACGTCAGTTGGAGGAAGCAGAGGCCTTACAAGAGGAGGAACAGAAACGACGTAAGCAACAGCGTAGCCTTAATGCGCGCAGAGCTGCGGCCGCGGCTCGAGCCTCTGCCGCTGCAGCAACGGCGCAGATGCATGTTAGCGCTTCGGCACCTAATCTTGCTGCCAGTGCTAGTGGCGTAAAACGCAGCATCATTGCGCGAGTGCCTCTTATGGGTGGAAATAGGCAGACAGAGGATGGATATGAGACGGATCACCAGGATTACTGTGACGTTTGTCAACAAGTAAGTCTCATTCCTCGTTACTATTTGTAACATTCCGTCTGGGAAAATGCCGGTAGACGGTGTGGCGCTTGTACTTACCTTCAGCATAATTGAATTGGGTGAGATGTTGATACCCAATCTCGTGAACTAGCGCTGATGAATTCGTGCAGCTTCAAGCAACCTAGAGTTTTGCCTTATTACTCCCGCATTTATTCGTGATTAGTAATGTTTTGCTTGATCAATTTTCCCATCTTTTTCTCCAGATCACGTTTATGTGCGTTTGCTAGCGTATTAATGGGTGTCATTCGGCCTGTTGTTGCTTCATTTTTTTCAGATTTTGTTTTATGGTTGTATTTCCTCAGGCAGCAGGTACATGATAGATATGAT